TTTCTCTTTGCTTCCAGTCATTTAATTATTTTTTCCTTATCTTTTTTGAAGTCCTTGGTATAGAGAATTTTATCTTGGTAGTAACATTTAGAGCAATTGAATTTCTTCTGAATTAAAAAAATAGAGGGATTATAATATTTACCAGAAGAGGTAAAGGGTGAATGTTTAAAGTAAAAAGAATTAGTAATCATCAGTTAGAGGCTTATTTGGTTTATTATTTATGGAAGAATTAGTTTTTTAAGATACAAGCATAGATATTTTCGTGATTAACTCCTACAATTATTCCATCACCTTCATTATCGCGACACAAATTTTTAGCCTGAATATTCAAACCAGCATCTTTTCTATTGAGTAGTATTGCAAGAAAATTATTTTCTAAATACGAAGAAGGAATTGATTTTTTAGTAATATACTCAATGTCTTTTTTGCTTATAACTTTTTCATTAAATATTAAAACAACTTCTTCTTCTAATAATTTTCTCTTTGCTTCCAGTCATTTAATTATTTTTTCCTTATCTTTTTTGAAGTCCTTGGTATAGAGAATTTTATCTTGATTATATTTTTTTTCTTGGCAGAAAGCCCTAGGGAATGCACTGTTAATGAAACTGCTCCATTTATCTGCTCTTATTTCCACAAACATTCGAATAAAATTTTCATCGGTTACTTTTTCTTCTCTTTTTTCTTCACCTGCATTCATATCCATATCTTCATCACATGAAGAAAACAAACCTTTAGATAATACTCGGACTGGTAAAACCTCATCTATATCAGGAAAATAAATATTACTTCCTTCATTTCAAATTTCATAATTCTTTAATTGTTCTGATTTAATATCTTTTCTTCCAAAAACTCATTTATTAAGTAAGTTAATTAAGACACTTACTTTTCTTCCATCATCTAATTTGGCTGTTAATTTTTCTTTACTTGTTCGACAAGCAACAATTTTAGGTTGAGAAAAATTTACTCCTTTTATTCTTGAATTTACTTCTTGATTAATTTCCTTTACTTCCACACTTGTCATAATGTATTTTATTTTAACTTCATTCCTACCTTTTTCAATTCTTTTTCTACTCTAGTCATAATTAAATTATAATAATCATTAATAAAATCTTTTATCTTGCTTTGCTTATGCTGAGGAATATTACCTCTTTTATTTTCAATATGTAAGTTAATTTTTCCTTTAATTTTTCTTAAATATACTCTTATCTCTCCTTCTTGACCAACGACATGAATATGGAGAAATTTCTGATTCTTTCCTCCTGGTGAAGCAAATTCATCAGGATAAAAAGTTAATTTATAACCATCGTAGGGTTTTATTGACTCATCTTTTTTAAGTAAGTTAACCATCTTTATAATATTTATTTTTACTAAATCAATCCCTACTTCTAAAATCTCTAAATTTTAAAATTCCCTCTTTGTAACATATTCACTCATTTACTTAACAAGTTCTTTTTTTCTCTTAGGACACAATTTTTTAGTTTACTTTTAGCCTTTTCTTCCAAGTTAAAACAAAAATTTACTAATGAATTATCAGTTTCTTTCTTATCCTTGGTTGGGGTATAGACAATACTTATAAGTTTTCTTAATTGAACCCTTCATGATCTAAATAACATCCCAATCGAGAAGAGTCTGACAACTGACTAGTTGATTACAATACTTAAATTATATTTATATTTTGACCTTCTTTTTGCCAATTAAGAAGTAATTATAAATTATTTCTTTTAATCCCTTACCTAAGAGAGGATAGGAACCTCCTTGCGATGAGTTTGATAAAACAAAAAATAAGAAAAATCAAAAAAGTTAAAGTCTTCTAAAACATCAGTTGGTGATTTTCTAATCCTTTTCGCCATATTTTTATATTTATAAATATTATTAACAACCCCCCGCCAAATAAAAAAATGCTCCATAAACTAAATTCTCAACCGATAATTGCTAAAATTCCTAATCAACCTGGTTGCTACTTATTTAAAGATAAAGCCGGAACCATAATTTATATTGGCAAAGCCCAAAATCTAAAAAAAAGAATTAGCAGTCATTTTTTAACTTCCCAAAACAATTATTTCCACCAGCAAATCCATAGTTTTAATACAATTATTACTAGTAATGTTAAAGAAGCCTTAATTTTAGAACAAAATCTAATTAAAAAATACCAGCCCCGTTTTAATGTTCTGCTCAAAGATAGTCATTATTATCCTTATTTGGAAATTACCGCCGAGGAAAATCCCCGCTACAAAATAGTGCGGAAAGTAGATAATAATACTCCTTTACTTGGAAAGAAAATTAACTCTGAAAAAAAAAGTGAGTATTTTGGACCTTTCCCCGACGGAAGCAAAGCCCGGGAAATTTTACAATTACTAGAAAGATTATTCCCCCTTGCTAAATGCAAGGGTAACCTAGGAAAACCTTGTTTTTACTATACTATTAATCAATGTTCCGGTCATTGCTGGCAAAAAGTAAACCCCTCCTATTATGAAAATATTAAAAAAGAAGTCCGAAAATTTTTTCGCGGTCAAACTCAGGATATAAAAAAGAAAGTTAAAAATTCTCTACAAAAAAATATTACCAATTTAGCCTTTGAAATCGCCCAAAAAGAAAAAAAAATACTAGATAATATTGACCTTTTTACTAGCCAGCAAAATATTGAATTTAAAAAAGGAGAAAATTGCGATTTTTTGGGCATCTATGAGCAGGAGAATGTTATGGCTTTTTATCTCCTTATTTATCGTTATGGGAAATTAGTGGCTACTGATGAAGCCGCCTTCCCAATTTGGAGCAACCAAGCGGAAGTTTTTGAAACTTATCTTTATCAGTTTTATCAAAATAATTTACCCCCGCAAATCCTTTATATTTCCAAAAAATTGCCCGGAGTTGAATTATTAGGAGAGGAATTTGGATTTACTTTAAAATCACCTCAACGAGGCCGAAAAAAGGAAGTAATTAATTTAGCCCAAGCCAATGCCCAACAATTTTGACAAAAAAACTACTGAAATGAATTTCAGCAAGTAAATAAAGGCCAAGTGCTAGCCGACATTAGCAAATTTTTGTCTGTTCCAGTGCCTAATTATATTGAGTGTTTGGATATTTCTAACCTCTATAAGCAAGATATAGTAGCCGGATTTTTGGTTTTTATTAATGGAGCAAAAAATCTAATTAAAAGTAAACTATATAAACTAACTGGAACCGAGCAGGAAAGTGATATATCCCGCATAAAAATGGCTTGCTTAACTCATTATCAAAAATATTCCCAAGCAAGAATGCCCGACCTTCTAATCGTAGATGGAGGAAAGGAACAAGTGAGGGTAGTGAAAAGAACTTTAAAAGAACTGAGCCTAAAAGTCCCGATAATTGGACTAGCCAAGGATGAAAAACATCAAACTGCCAAAATAATTACTAGTGATTTGAAAGAATTAGATTTTGGCAAAAAGGAGAGAATTAGAAATTTTTTTATTAATTGCCAGGAAGAAGTTCACCGTTATGCGATTAATTTCCACCGCCAATTACACCGGAAAGGCGTTTTAAAAAATTAAGTTTTGTCCTTGTCTCCTGTTCATAATAAATAATTAAATAATCAAGAAAAAAGGTTAATAGCATAACAAAAAAAGATAAGAAAGAATAAATCAATGGACAAAGTAGTAAAATCTTTCTCCCCCTTTAAAAAATCCTCCTCCCCCTTAATAATAGTGCTTAATAATTAGGTTAGATATAACTCTTTATGTAGATTATGGAGTATTACCAACTTGGTAATAGTAGAGTACTCGTTATCCATTTCTAAATAACTTTATCAACTAATTGCCGACCACCTTGTGGATGAAAAGTAGTTTTATCAAATACCACCTAACTGTCATTGTCATCTTGACCTACCTCACAAGTATCAGCGTAGTATATCCTTCTTTTCGTAAAGAGTATTATTTTATAATGGTGGAGATGATGGGATTGAACCCATGTCCTTAGATGGCTAGTAATTACTTCTACAACTTAGTTTATTAGTGAATTTCCCTACTGAGTATTAATAAACGAATACATTTCAATAGGTAGGATATTTTTTTTAAATAGACAATTAACAAGTAAATAAGCAAACTTTAATAATTGACCCAAATTTTATTACGAACCGATTCAAATTGGGCGAACCGATAAGAACTAGTTAAGAGACTAAGCCCTTGCGTAGTTGTATCCGTAGTTGTTATTTAACAATTCTACTGGAATATCGTTGTTGTTAACTTCGTCTTGATTTTTTTCAAAACAGGTTTATTGCCATAATCACCGACCTCAACCTAAGTCAAAACTCGCATCCCCATGTTTTCTGGTTTCTTCATCATCTATATTATTATTTTAATGTTTTTACTAAATTCCTTTTTAACCTCGAGTAGGCAATTTTAAAATTATTTGCCGTCTTTGCTGGCAATTTCATATAAATTCTTTAAATTATTTTGTAAAGTAATAATAAAACTAAATTAGAACTAATCATTTCTCTAAATTTTGGTCTCATATGTCAAAATTTTTTGGCAAGTTTTTCAATTTAGTTCGTTTGCTTAAAATAACTTCTCCTTACTTATGGAATTACTTTTCTTCTCGCATCTCATAAATACTAACTACCGGCACTAAACGAGTAAACTCCTCGTCGCCCTTTATTTCTCACTCGTTTTTTTGTTTACTTTTGATATCCTTCATATGGTTAATGCTAACGAACTTTCCGTTGGGTAATTTGTTAATGTCGCCGGGGCGGAAGCCACGAAAATATTTTGGATCACTTTGGTCGTATCATTAGTAAAGAACTCCTGAAAGATATCTATATTATCTTTGATGTAACGGTTGCTTTCTATAACATTATGAACAACAATGCTGAAATCAGTTGTTAATTTTTCATACTTTTAAAAAATCTTGGCAATTTTTTTCACTTAAGGCTTAAAAAACGCTACCACCGGTTTTAAACCAAAATTCTCGTTCTTTTGAGCAGTAAAGGTTATTAACTCACTTCCTCCTTTGACTGGAGAAGGAATTGCTTTGCCTATTTCTTGGGCTAGATAAAAGCGGTCAAAAGCAAT